TAGAGGCTATTGTGATGGGCTGCAAACACAAGGAAACCTATCCATGCTTACTCTGTAGCACATCCAATTAAGTTCAGGGGCTCGTGCTTCCAGATAATATGTTTAGATTTCTAGTTCAGTTCAGTCAGTATGCTAGTCTTATTGTGTGCTTACTTACTTCCATTCACAGAGGATGAACTTCTGCAATAGAGAGTTTCTCCATTTATGGGAAGTTTCCCACAAAGTGAAATTCTTGATTTTTCTCTCTTATGTATGGGTAATCTACAGTTATATTCACAGTCTAAGACTGGTGGAAACTTAAAAATTCAAATCTTAAATAAGAACCTTAAGAATTATTAAGTCAGCATCGAAGAATATAGGCAGTTCCAAGAAGGATGCTTTAAAAAAATAAAATTAGGGTTTTCAGGTCTGATAACTTCAGTATTTCTGGATATCAAGGAAATCATTTAGGTATCTCTCCAAAGGCTCTAATCACAACTGGTATAACAATGAATTTCTTTTTCATAAGCATTTAACTTTGATCTGCAAGTCCCAGTATTTCATAATTTTTTTCAATTGTTTTTCCTTGATCTTAGTGTCACCCAGAATAGCAACATCACTGAACCAGACTTCTTCTTTTCAATAGCTGGCATGTTCTATCAATATCAGGCATGTTTTAAATAAGATGTCTCTCTGTTTCAATCTTAAAGTCCTGTAAGATCTTAACCCGCTCATTTTCCAAAACTTCTCAGTAGTTTTATTCTAATGAATAATTCTGGCAACTTGGTCATGAAACTCCTTATAGTCAGTCTGTGAAATTTTGCTCTAGCAAAAAAAGGTGAATTGTGTCATTCTTTTTGTTACAAACAGGGCTTTTTTTTGTCATAGAACGCCCAGAACGGAGTTCCGGCACCTTTTTTGGATGGAACCTTGTAGGATAGGCAAGGCGGGTTGTATGACGTGTGAGTTCCGGCACTTTTTTTTTTTTTTTTTTTTACAAAAAAAGCACTGGTTACAAAGGTAACATTTGCTGTTGTTTGTTACATGTTGAATTTTGCACCTTCATGCAATTAGTTTGCAAAGCTTATTCCTAAGCCGCTAAAATAAAGCCCTTTGTTTCTTTATTTAAATCTCCCGATTTTAAACCAACACCGTGTGGGTTTTTTAAATCAGCTTTTTCTTCTATATCCTTCAAGTATTGACACTATCCTTTGTTCACAAAAATGTGAAGTCACAGTTGCCAATTCCTTAGCTGGTGTTGACCTTCAGATGCATTGAGTTCTTCCCAGGAATCTAGGATGTTGTAATGTATCAGTGTAGTGTATGTGCCGAACCAAATTATGTGACCTTTTGTAATTGACAGAAAGAAATTTTGTCAATGTGCAGATTTTCTAAGTGTCATCCAAGGCTTATTAGTATGGCACACAGTGTGCCAATAACCCTTGGGATCACCACTGCCGGTTTAAGCCATAATCATTCAACTTTGATTTTCAAATCTTGATACTTTGTGCTCTTCTCCTATTCTTTATTTTCCATTTTATTATTCCCTGGTATTGTCACATCAATTATCAATTATTTTCTTCTTTTCAACCAGCTAAATCTGGTGTGTTATGTGCCAAGATTTTGACTACTTTGTATTCAGAAATCCCACAATATTTTAATTTGCTCATTTTCAATTATTTTTTCAACTATATCTTTCCACCAATTTTTCATTACTGGATTAT